AATGGAGCCCGAGCTTAAGGAATTCATAATGAAGGATCTTGACACATTCGTGGAACGCAAGGAGTTTTTTGAGAACGTCGGCAGGGCTTGGAAAACGTGGGTACCTTTTGTATGGTCCACCAGGGACAGGAAAATCATCACTGGTTGCTGCAATTGCAAATTACATGAGATATAATGTATATGATCTTCAGTTTCAAAGCGTCAGAAGTGATTCTGAACTCAGACGCGTACTCACATCCACCACAAACCGGTCAATTCTGCTCATTGAAGACATAGATTGTAGCACCAAAGTTACGCATGATCGAACCAAGGCCAATGAAAACAGTGATGAAGAAGATGAAGATGAACTCAAACGTCCAATGGGTATCGATCCCGGGGTAATTCATTCGTTTCTTTACTTGGTTTGATTGAAGTTGAAGCAAGCCTTTCGGTTCTCTAATTTAACATCATTTTGCAGGTAACACTGTCAGGCTTACTCAACTTCATTGATGGATTGTGGTCAAGCTGTGGGCACGAAAGAATCATAATCTTTACCACAAATCATAAGGAAAAGTTAGACTCAGCACTTCTACGGCCAGGTCGAATGGATGTGCATATTTACATGGGATATTGTTCACCAGCAGGATTCAGGAAACTTGCATCTTCATATCTTGGGATCAAAGACGACAAACTGTTTGGCTGCATTGATGATTTGATTAAAAGTATTGAAGTTACTCCGGCTGAAGTGGCGCAACAGCTGATGATCAGTGATGAACCCAGAGTTGCACTCCAAGGTCTCATCGAATTTCTTAACACAAAGAAGAAGGATATAGAGGAAGCTGCAACTGAAGAGAAGGTAAAGAGCATTAAAGAAGAAGAAACAGAAGAAAAGAAGGTAGAAAGGCAAAATTCAGAGCTTGCAGAGTCTGAAACAAGATGCATATATTTGACTTAGTTTAGCTATCGGTCCAGTTATGGGATAACAAATATGTTTGTTTATAATTAATTACCTATTGGTTCCTAAAAGGGATGAATGTCATGAAGACGACTCGATTTTTGCCGTTAAAATAGCAATGACTTCAAACCAACCACAAAAGAAAACTTGCAAAATAAAAGACAAACTCAAGTTTAAATTTTGGTGTTGTATTTACAATGACTTGACTCCATAGCATCACAAGGATGTGCTTCGTGACAATAGTCATGGTTAAATTTCATTTCTAGATCGGGTGTCCAGTTAGGATCCTGCTGATCAAAGCTATTGCACAACAAATAATCTCTATCGTCGCAACGATGAAAGAGGTAAACCCTGGAGAAAGTTATATGAAGGTGGTAGTATATCTTTAGCTGATGATAGAGATCGAATTAACTCATCTACTTGATGTGCAAACATGCAAACTACATCCCCTACATTCTTTGTTATCCAATCTTCATGTACCCTGCAGAAGTGGGAAAACAATTTCAATGCATTGAAACAAAATTTAATACTAATGAATTCTATGCATTCCGAGTGAAAATAGGGATACAATCTATTCACTGAACTAGCAAACTATTTTAGGGGAAATAACATGAATGCAAAAGTTAATGTTGGAGAGCATTGACAGACTTCTGGAACACGGAAATGAAAGAGACGTTGAATAAAAGAGATTACAGTAATGATGACAATGAATTCTTCCAGGCATCCAAACATTATATTATATACATATATTTCTGAATCTTGTAAAATCTTACCATCCAATTGTAACAGATGTCTTTTTCATTCTTCAAGCAAGCAAGTTTTATTAGTGTCAAGTCAGGCATATAATTCATTTATCACTAGTATCATTGACTTTGCTTTTCTTACTTGTTTCAATTTCCCCTAATTTACAAATGTATGGACCAATTGGGAAAAATGAGAACCCAATTCTTGTCAACAAAGGCAGGACATAAGACCAAGAACGTCAAAAGCTTCCTAATTATAAAAAAACTAATGCAATCTGTTAAGCCATTCAGAAAACCAATTAGCTTATCGTGCTAAAAGGGGAAGAAGGAGACAATCAAGAGATCAATTGAGACAGACCTTAACTGAGATGCTGCAGATTCACCACAATCAGAAAAGTTGACCTTGATAACAGGGAGTAAATCTAACTTCAGACTAGATTCTGCTGCACTCGGTGTGTCCAAGCAATAACCAGAACACCACCAAGAATTTGGATTTAGCAGAATGATTTGCAACAAGGGAGACTTGGTTCTCAAATGTCTAACCAAAGTTCGAAATGACAATTCATCTTTCGCATTTTCCAGTTGCTGATTAATGAACATTCTTTCCAAGCTATATTTCCTATTCATGATGAGCAAACTTTAAGCCCACAGTATAAAATTTATCAATCGCAATAAAGCAACGCTTCACAGCTATCTAATCACCATAATGACTCATATGTCGGCAAATATCAGAACAAAATATCTTTATGGTAATTGTGCCAAATTGCCAAATGGTTTTGTGCTCACCTGAATAAGTCCCCTGATCCACCACCAGCTGATGAACAAGTTGAAATGTAGCATTTGAAGAATCGAACTGCACCATCAATGGGCACAGCACCATTATCAAAAGGACAATCTCCAAGGAGTGATAAACAGTTAGGGCATACAAATTCCACCCAATCAATATCCATCGAGAGATTGTAGGATTTAGCCATAAAGACATTTCCAAGAAAACCATTAAGGAACAATTTCTGATTAGCCAAGAGCATTGAAGTGTTTTTCTCCACCGGGCGAGTTTCAGGGACATTGGTTTGGCTACCTTCATCTAAATGATTTTGTATGTGATCTGCTGTATGAACACAACATCCTGGCATCAATGTCTAGATTTTCGAGAAAACTGATACAGGTAATGCAGAAAAATTTTCACTACCACTAGCTTCTTCCTTATTAACTAGCACACTTGTACTAACAGTATTATTCTTAAGATGAATAGAGCTCAACTTCTCGCATAAGTCATTCGTTCTCTCTTGAGAACTTGACATATTTTCACTCAAACCAGAGTCACGAGCAAAACCTAATCCAGGCTGGTATTCATCAGTTCCATTATAAAGTTTACATGCCACAAGATCATCCTTGCAAAGAAGAACAGTTGTTAGGTTTAAGAGGCACACACCCTTGGCACATCTATAGGAATTTGCAAATCTACTCACCAACTTCTCACTTATACCCCCAAATGAACAGCAACAAGTTCCAAACCAATTATCAGAGACCTCTCGCCAGTCAATTGATGGCATTTCCATGAATTTTCTACATGAATAAACCAAAATCGGAAAAATCAAAAACAAAAAGGCAACAAGCAAAGGGATAACAAACAGTACATATATTTGAAACTGATATTAATGAGCACAACGAAATGATATCATGTGAACTACCTGAGAGGACTTTTAGTCAGCCTAGTTGAGCAATTTCTGCAATAGAAGTGAACTCCTCCTTCCATTGATGGCAGACTCTTCAAATCTAACACACACAAAAAGAGAGAGAAAGGAATGAGCCAAGAATAGAATGATTTAAGCATCCAATCAGCTGCCATAAGGAATGACAAAAAACAAAAAATGTAAGTCTTGCCAAAAAAAATAGTTTTTGCATATAAATATAGAAGTAATATCAGCACCACTAGTTATAGTTCTCTGTTCAAAACCATCATTTCTTTTATTGTTAAAAGCACTAGCTTTTGCATTCTTACTTCCAGAGTATAACGTTAAATACTAAAAATAACAATTAAATGGAACCTAAAAATTGAACTAACCAGTATCCAGCACCAGTGGCTTTGCAGCATCGAATGAGGGGGCATTATCGCCATTTTCAGATGAATCCAACATCACATCATAGGTAGAAACGATGGGATGATCAACAGGTAGAAGCAAAACAAGCTTAACCTCAATGTGATCATCCAAACCTCTAAAACTCACCGGTGCTTCGGAATCGATTAAAACTCGAGGGATCGGAACCCTAAGCGACACCTCTTCCACCCTCCTCTTTGAGCCACGAAACGAGAAGATGAGATTGAGACAGAATGAGTTGACCTTTGAGATTTCTGCATTGTACCGAAGGTCTTGTTGGAGAATCGAAGAGGAATAAACGGAGATTCGGAGAGTGAGACTGCGCTTCCCATGTGAACCGCCATTTTTTAGGGTTTTCAAGGTTTAACATTTTCCCTCTCTCTGAATCCTTAGTGTTCAGTTAAATGGTTAAGCGTTAAATGATTTAAATGTTGAAAGATTCAAAGATTCTGTATAAATTAGTTCTGAAATATGACATATTATTTGATAATGACTCTAAATCATTCGGAACGTATTTTTGTGCTTAATTATTCAACAATATTTTACTGAATCAGTCAACACTAAATCATTAAGAGGTGTGAAACAAACTAACTAAATACTGAACAGTTTAATATTCAACATTAAATGATTATATTAAGAAACAAACAAATAATAATAAGTTAATATTCATTAAACTCTTAAATTTAAAGATAAACTATCCGTATAGTTAGTAAACTATAAGGTTGATTATATTTTAACCACTAAACTAAAATATTTTTCAATTAGAACATTCAACTATTAAATTTCTATCAATCAAACCACTTATTGTTAACTTTGACGAGGATATGTGAATTAGGTAAATTTATACAATTATATTTTTTTATCCTCATTACTTTAAATACTACAGTAAAAATTATATTAATTAAACTAATGATATTATTAGTTTTAAAAGATATCTTAGAAGTAATATGTATACACACACTAACATAAACCACTAAAGTTTGATTTGTCAGACTGCCTTTTGATAACATTGTTAAATGATTAATATAAAGCATGTTGATAAACAACGTTTCTGTATTTGATTTGATTTTAGTGGGTGGGGAATAATAGAACATTATTATGAAATGAATGTTGATCAACGTGAAAATGTTCCAAACAAATGTAACCAGGATTAAAGCTGCATTAACCTTTATTAAGACTAAATCAATGACCAAAAGGAGAGAAGAAAATGTTGAAACCTCTCAAGTTGCAGAAGAAATGGCTGATTATGATTACTGTATAGGAGTTTTAATTAAAAAAAATGAAGATTACCACTCATTACATATAACCTGCATTCATCCAGGGGACTTTAGTTTCTTCCCTTTGTATTCCCTGAATTTAAACAGGGAAGATAAAGAACATAAAATACAAAGAATACACAGTTGAAATGTGACTGCCAACAAGAAGTTAGATGTACATTCATCAGCACAAGCTGATTTAAACTAATGTAAATATGCTCCAAACTTTACATTTTCATCTGATGATCTGAATGAACGAAGACTAGAGTGCATTTGGGGGCCAGCCTTATGAAACCGAATCGCCCCACCACCGGTTTCTCAAGTAATCTTGTCAGCATCCAGCTTTTCAGTGATTACCAGAACTGGGATACCAGCAAATCAAGTTCTACTTCATGTCAATTATACTGTTCATAAGCAAAAAAAGAAGAAAAAACAAAAACAAAAGATAAATGGGAAATACTATAGTCTATTTAGCTTACCAAGGTTTTCTTCTTCTTTCTCTTCTTTTTTTCCAGGTACGCCGCGAGCTCCTGTTGTTGAGCAGACGAGTCTTCTAGAGCCTGAGAAAGAAAAACCAAGGGCATTGGCAATCACTTAAAGTGCAATGCTGCATGTTCTTTCTACATATATTTGATGTTCTTAATTTGAAATGCAATGTTTACCTTCTTGGTTGCCATAAGCTCTTGCTCCAATGCATCGGCTCGGGTTAGTGCAGTATTCAACAATTCCTCCTTATCAGGGGGAAGTGCCGAAGGTTTCGTGTTAATAACACTTAATCTCTCTTCCAATTCCTCCATACGTTTCATGACAGACATCAATTCTTCAGCAGAGAGGGATCCTGGTGGGGGTACCTGGGATGAAGGCTGCTGGCTATTAGCCTCTCTGTCTTCACTGTCGACTTGACTCTTGTAGCTGCTTTCATCAGTGGGTTTCCTGGGCATGTTGCGTGTCACTTTTATCATTGCGCCGATGCCCATAACAAAGGTCATGACACCGGTAAAAAAATGGGAGCTAAGCCCATCAGAATCCATGCAAACTTCTTTCCTAGAATCTACCCTTGGAACAATAGCCAGTTCATTACCTGTTATAATAAAGTATAGACACATCAATAGAGTTAGTATCCAATCCAAGAAAATGAACTTTATGTGCTTAAATGAAGTATGCTGTCCCGGTTTCGTAACAATATGACCAATCAGTCTCCTTAAACTACATTGGGGAGCATTCAGAGAAAACATCCACATTAAGATGCATTATGTGCGTACGTGTGAATATTAGATGTAACAGTCTAAAAGTAGGCATGTACCTCTCGGTTCAGTAACAACATTTTCATATTGCACAGGCAAATCCACAGTTTTATGAACCACCGGGGCAACTTCCTCAGTTTTGATTGTTTCGACCTATGAGATTTATTTATCAGAAGTAAGAAAATTGCAATTTTCATAATACATCCACAACAAAACAAATTTCCATAGTTACAAAAGAAGAAAAAGGGGGAAGAAAATAAATTCAGTGCTCAAGTAGCTACAAACTCGATTACTTGGTCGGTATTGGACATCAGATCCTCTAAGGTCTCTACATATTTTACAAGTTGGATCAGCTTCGTGGTCGATGTTCATACCACTAGATGCTAACTCAAAGCCTGAAATCCTTAATTATAGACAATATTGTGCAAGAAGGCTGCTAACTTACATTGTCATTAACAGGAGCTGCTAGCTCTACAGGTGGTTTATTTCCTGCCTCTGGAACAACCTCAGCCTCCAAGGACTCACTAGCCTGCGTAAATCGTGAAATAAACTACTCAGAATAAACGATAAACTCGCAAGATCGTAATAATGCAGGGGCAGATTGACATATAATGTAAAAAGAGGAAGAGGCGGGTTCTAGCTGATAAAGCAAGTCGAACCTTTCGGACAGCAGGCTCATCCTCTACAGTTGTTTTCTCTGCACTACTTTGAGCCTGAGAATTCTTCCCGGGTTTGTGATGACCATTTTCAATCATCTGCAAGTCAAAGAATTAGTTACAGTTTGGGGAACAAACTGTACAAGAGAATCATTATGACTGCAACTGAGAATAATAAAGATGGTAGTGATCAACCTTCAAAATCTCTGGGTCCTTCCAAGGGCCCTTATCTGAAAGCATGCAGCCTCCGTGATCAGCACAAGTGCAAGTACCTCCCAAAAAGTCTGGCAACTCGCTGATAGAGAGCGGCAACAGGAAATGAAATATAAGTAAAGAAAAGGAAGCAACACCCGGAAAATGTTCAGAACAGTGGATAATTTTTTTGGTCTTCTACATTCTAAGCAAGGATTGGACTTACTTAGCATCAATTATTTCAAGCAACTTGCTCTGAAATTTGTTACCAAGAACCTGGTACATAATATATTATACCGATTAGATTCTATTGGTAAAACTAGCAAATTTAGTGAGAGGAAGTGAATGCTTACATTGATTTTGGCTGTGGTCTTGGGATCGAGGAAAGACTTAACAGTGTTCCATAACATTCTAAATCCAGAACCAGCATTAATGATGAACATTCGGTTCAAAGTCTGCAAGAAAGGCAAAATTTTTCACAATGCAAATCCATCATCTACCGTTAGAAGTCACAACCAAAACAAAAAACTAAGCTAAAAGAAAACTGGTACCTCAGGGTAATTGTCACCATCAACCTTCTGAAGAAGAGTGATGAGCTCCCTAGCAGCTTTGGTGAAGCTTTTAAGACCCTGTGTCATTAAGCCAGAGGAGATTCTCTTGAGTGATTTATACAAATATTATATATATATATATCCAAATACATGAGTTATAATTTTGAAAATAAGATTTGGATGATTAGACATAGTGTTTTTGAAGCCTTGTTAAAGTGATTACTGGAAACTTTGATCAATTTCTTGTATAGTGGTTTGTTCCCCTTACCACTCCATTAACGTCCAAGATGGTTGTGCTTTGGTCAATGTGCTTCTTGGCAGCAATAGTGCAAGCTGGAAATTTAAATTGGAAGGTCTTCTCAAACTCCCTCACATGGTATTTGAGATAGCGATCCATGGTGGTGACTTGCAAGAGCTTGGTTGCATCTACTAGGCCTATTCTCTCTATATACACTGGTCGTCCGTCCATATCTACTCCATGGTAGCCTTGGGGATAATATTTCAAGACCTCCTCTCTCTCCTTGAAATCAAAGTCCTTAAACAAATAGCAGAAAATGGAATGAAACTCAGCCAGAAAAGGCAATATTTGAGAGGATACATAAACAAATAGCAGATCTGTTGTGCAGAGCTCTTTTGAAGAATACCTCTAGAATTGTGTCGGTACCGAATTCCTTCCTCCAGTTGAGCATATCGGACCACATTTGCTTTGTTTTCTCAAGGTCGAATCTTCTGGCCTTCAAGAACCTGCATTTTCAGAGGGTTAGATTTAGAGGTGAACAAGTATAAGACAAATCCAAACACAGAAAAACAGGAACCACATTTGTGGTTGGCTGGTTGCCTTAGCAAGTAGGCATATTGAACAATGCATATACTACAACACCAGTGATGAAACAGGATAGGAACATACCTGAGCATTGTGTGATAGTCGTCGTGTCTTTCAGGCAGCAGGTCCTCCGCTATAAGCGCCTGATGCAAGGCTTCAACGGACTGCTGCTCCTCCGGGTCCTGCTCATCATCAATTTCAACAGATAGTACTTTACTGCTTCTCCTCTTCCTTGAATTCCTGAACCTATGAGAGATTGTTTTCTTGAATGACCCCCTTCTGTATTTTTCTTCCTCTGAGGCATCAGTTCATGTACAAGAAATCATTATTAACGTTAAAATATAGTCACAAAACAGAAAATCATCCCAAATGTTCCCCATATATTAAGATTAAGTTTTAGATTTTAAGTAGCAATCATTACAATGATTCATGAATGAAACATTTAACAGTAATTTCCACCTATAAAATCAAAACATCAACATTGTACAATGATGATTCCTGCCCTACCTTGGTTTCCAGGTGGAATGTCAGACATGATCAGGGGCTTTGGGTTCCTGAAAGGTGAGAAAACAGCAAAGGGCAGGCAAATTTATGCACTCTTATTATATCTATACTTCCTCAAATTCCCTGCACATGGTATAATATTGAAATTTGGCCACCCAAAGCATTCAAAGATTAAAAAAATGAGGAACAGTAAAACTAAAACTATGGAAAGAAAATACCTCTGCAAAATGGGAAGGAGAATAATATAAGAGAGAACTAATTTTTCTTTCAATGGGGTATTTTTAGCTTCCTTCGAAAATGGCTGGGAGACAGATGACACGACATGCCAATCAAAACACAAACATTTTTCACATGTTTTTTCTTATTAATGTTTGTAAGAACATAAGAAATGGGTCTGTTTTGTTTCTTTATTTGGCATTTGCTTTTTTTCATGATCTTTCTTTGACCAAGTGTCAACATACGAATTGGGTTTGAATGCAAAATGCAAGGCCTCTCCATTCAAAATCCTTCCCCACGAACGATAACAAACGGCAAAAACATACCAGGTTCTGGTTTTTTTTATTCTTTAGCTGCATGTTTTAGTTGTACGACTTTGTTTAACATTGTATATTGTTTATGAATTTCAGCGCTACATCGCTTATGGATTTTATCATTTGGATTATTGAATTATTGAAGGTGGAAAAAGGGTACAAAGTAATGGTAATGGAAGATTTGCGAATAATGATGATCACGTGATAATCAGGATAATAACATACAGATTGATATTCAGATTACTCAACTAGTAGCTTAGTTAAATTCTTCACACTTGTTGAACTCTTGATATTGAGATTACTCAACTAGTAGCTTAGTTAAATTCTTCGCACTTGTTGAACTCATTCGTGGTATCGATGGTTAAAGGGGAATTGTTCTAGTCAATAGATCGGATACCAGTGATTAATTCAAAACATGAGAGTTGTTCTCCCTAAAAATCATGGGTTCAAGCAGCTGCGCCTACGTTGACGATGGTTGTTTATGCGTTGTCAAATATTAAGAAAATTCTAAATAAATATTATATTGTAATCTAAAACTATTAAAAAAATAATAATCGAGCTTATTATACAATTCCACCAATTGACGACAAGGGCAAAAGCACATGGATAATAAAATTATTAAGGATTTAATTGTAAGTTAGTTATTCTTGTTAATTTTAAATTTTACTTTTAATAATATATAGTCTAAATTTTTAAAAAATATATTTTATACTTAATAATAAAATCAATCCTAACCAACTTGTTTTCATACTTTCCACATTTTCTAAAAATTCTCAAATTCCTATCAACAATTCTCTCATTCTCTCTACTTTTCCATCCAAACAGCATTTTCAGTCATTTTCCAAGATCAAGGTAAGATTTTCAATTTCCATTAATGTATCATTCCAAGGGTTAGTTCATGCCTTTTAGATTAAGCTTAGGTCCTTTCAAATATGAATCAAGTTCAGGTCCTCCTAAATATGATTTTTGAAATTCATTGAAATTTTTGAAAGAGATTTTGATCTCAAAATCAATATCTACATTCACAATTCTTTAAGTATGTCTTATTTCCTTAATATTACCTTTGTTGATAAAATCTCATATGCATACGCTGTTAGCACCAAGTCTCATATGCCTACTATCTTACCTCCCTCTTACCTCATACATATGAGAAAAAGGGACAGTCATTCAGCCATTAAAATGTGTATGGAAGTATATGTGGGCATCTTGGGATGAGTGTGGTAGCAAATGTTGGAATCAAATTTGAAGCTTACAAAACTCTGAGAACAAAATATTAAGGAACTGTTAGAGTCAAAAAAAAATCTAAGAACGAAATTTCTTGAAGGATAAAAAATCTAAGCACCGAGTCTCATATTAAGGAACTGTTAGAGTCAAAATATTAATGTGGTTGTCGGTGAAACAAAAATGATAAAAAAATTTCAAGTGACGTAAGGAGAGAAACCTAGGCTATATATATATAAATAAATAAATGGTCAATGTGTTTTTCACTTAAGATGTATCCTAATAAATATATGTATAAATACTTTAGTTCATTGTCGATATCCTTATATATGTATCGATATCAGTGGTGGATTCAGAAATTTATAAATAGGGTTCAGAAATTTATAAATGGGATACAAAATTTTAATTTTTTTAAAACAAATAATGAGGTATAATTTTTCATTTTTTCCATTTTTCTTTGATATATTATATTAAATTTTACTTTTTTTTTTAAATAATGGAGATGCACATGACCCCTAGGGATTTAGTGCATCCGCCCCTGATCAATACTCACCATTTGTCTACAGTTATATAGTTATCCATGCTTCAATTTGATGTAGTTGAGTCTTAATTATTCTCATTCTTCATTTCATAGAAGTATTATCTTAAAATTTAAGGTTTGTATCTCACTGTTATTGATCAAAATCTTCAGCACTTACAATTGAAGTATTATAATGTAGCAATTCTTACAAGTGTCCTACATGGCATCGATATCCTTTATAGAGGTACTGATACCTCGCATATTTAAATAAATAATAATTTATATTTATTATTATTATTTTCAAAACTTCAAAATTGTACCGATACATGTGGTTTGTGTTGATACCAGAATGAGAATCTTTCTGTTCGGTTTTGAATTGTTGGTTTTATTTGCATCGATGCACTTAAACTTTATTTATTATCATACTGTGGCATCATTTTGTTACGTACTATCATATCAACCTTAATTTACCATCTTAAGACGTATCAATTTTTTACCTGTCAAAGCATGCAATTCATAGATACATAGATCTACATTTATTTAAAGATTAGTATGAATATATTTTACAAGATGCAAGTGAGTTTAGTCTATAAATAGATTTAATATCAGTTCATATTGGGTCAAGTATGTGTTTTTTGTCCAAACTAATACATTTATGTCTCCACTTAAGAGTCAACATGTTCTGATAGCCAAGATAAATTATCTTCTCTTTGAACTTTAGATGAAATAATATTCCTGATATGAATTATTTACTTATAATAAGTCTATAAACTATGACCTTATTTATATTACCAACTAATATAAGTTATCTTTTGTATTACAAACACTTTTATAATTTAACTTATAAAAAATAATGCGTATTTTTTAGAAATAAAAAAATAATGTGATCATTTAATTAAGCATAAGGATAGATTTTTACATTATACCTCTTACAAACACAAACCTAAGATTAGACTTGAGTCTTTGAAATGTGTAAAACAATATTTGAAATCTTCAACAGAGTTGCAGAGACTAGGTTTTATTGATAATAAGGTTTCTACAAAAATTCATATTTTTACTGCGGTGGTTACATTCTTCCATTCACCATCATTATTTTCTTTCTATCACCATCTGTTTTCGATCTCTTAACTCTTGATATTGCTGCATTCAATCTTGTGATTGAGGAACCAACTTCATCAGAATCTTCTGGTTTATTCTCTGTTTCAGTGGCTTCATCTCTCTTGCGTTTGAGGAACTCAACAAGACCTTGTAGTGCAGTATCAGCATCATCACTCCTCATCAACTCTTCAGCTACCTCCGCCGGGGATGCCTCCGTACTTTCTAGTAAGCCATCAATTTCCCCAAAGAAAGGGTTGTATTTGCTGCCAATCCCCAGATAATTCGAAGCCAAAATCCTGAATCCGTCACTGGTGCAATACGACATGTTGATGTGCAAGTCCATTCGACCCGGCCGCAACAGAGCAGGGTCGATCCGATCCTTGAAATTAGTAGTAAACACAATAATCCTCTCATCCCCACAGCTTGACCACAGTCCATCAATGCAGTTTAGTAAACCAGACAGCGTCAACTGCTGTAAGTAGAAATCGTTGAATCAAGGAAACAACAAGTTTAGTCCACTTTATGTTCTTAAATTGTTGTTCAAACTACCACAAGTATAGGTTTTACTGGTAATTTTAAGGTTGTTCTAAAACAAAAAGAAGCTCTTACCCGAGATTTAGCATCTTGCTGCTTGTTTTTATTAGCGGTTTGTCGTTCAAGAACCTCAGAGCTGCAATCTATGTCTTCGACCAACAGTATGGACCGGTTACCAGTCGACAGCAGCGTCCGCCTTAAATCAGCATCAGAGCGAACACTTGTGATCCCCAAATCATATATATCAAACTTGAGATAATTAGCCATGGCAGCAACCAAACTGGATTTCCCCGTGCCAGGAGGACCATATAGCAAGTACCCTCTTTTCCAAGCCTTTCCCACTTTCTTATAATACCCTTTTCTCTTTAAAAACCTATCCAAATCATCAATGATCATCTTTTTCAGATCTGGGTCCATAGCAAGGGTATCAAAAGTAGCCGGATGGTCAAGGATTATTGAACCCCAGAAACCCCTTACTCCACCGTCATCTTCACTGAATGGACACTGACGGCTGTAAAGCTTTATCACCTTGTCTTTGTTTTTAGTCTCCTCGGCTTTGAGCAAAACGTAAGGCAAGTAAAAGTCCAGGACTTTATCTTTGTGTTTCTTGTTGAAGCTAAGCTCGAAGTATCTTTTCTCCCAGGAGTGAGGCTTCTGGCCTTCCCCACAAACAAACCTCCATGTCAGTTTAACGTTTTCGAAACGATCAACCACTGTTTCCCCATTGTCGATGGCGGTAGTGAGATGCTTTTGTTTCCTGGTTTTGCTGACCTTGAGCCGCTCCGTCTTGGGACTGATCCTGGTGCCGAGATACACTCTGGCGGCTTCGTAAACTTCGTTCTTGCCCATCCCACATTGCTCGTCGATGGCGAGGGTGAGGTCTGGGGAGAGAGGAGCGAGGAAGTAGCTCAATCCGTTGAAAAGGTAGGATCTAAGGGGGTGGGGAATGAGTTCGTTGGCCATGGATCGAACCAGCATCATGGACCCTGCAAAGGAGGCATAAGCAGAGAATAATGAAGTTGCAGTTTTAGAGATTTCTGAAGATGAAAACATGGCGGCCATTAATGGAAGAATCAAAGCAGAGAGTTCACAGGTTCAAGATCGAGTGTGATAATGGAGAATCCGGTGGATTGGTCATGTTCTACATGCCGACGCTATAGCCTAGTCAAAATCAATGGTCTTTGTGTACATGCTTAGGAACTAAGGAATGTCAAAAGTCTTTTTCATAGAAAGACAAATAATCCTGATATTTTCTCTCGACTTGATTTTTGGATTTTAGTTTGGTACTTGAATTTGTTACTTTTTTTATGATGTTGCACTATATAATATTAGATCAAATTATTAAAAATAATTTAAAAAATATTATCATATTTATGAACTAAAATGGGTTAAAATCATGGTTTTTAGAATCGGACCGGCTAGCGAACCGATTATGTTACCGGTTCACTGATTCAACCGGTCGAACCGATCCTACCGGTCGGAAGAACCGGACGACGTCATAATTATTTAAAAAATTAAATAAAAATATCAAAAATATTTAATAAAAAATATTTTTTTATATCACAAGTCATATTCAAAGCAAGTCATAACATATATAAGTTAAAAACCATAAAATCAAGTGAAACAAAATGATTCAAATTAACTACAACATAATATTTAAGGTAAAGCATATTAAATAATAAATATAATTATATAACTATAATTAAAAAAATAAATTTGGGGTTAAAAAAAATCATAACAAAATGATATTATTTGGTTTATTTTTTTAAAAAAAACAATCCCACATGGCTAAGGAACATAGAAGAGCATCACAAAAGTCTAAAGACTAAAAATATGATGAGAACAAAACAATTTCACATTGCTAAGAAACATAGAATCGCATCACAACTAACTTCTATAAATAATAGAGGTAATTTGGCATTCAAAATCATTGAGCATTTTAGTGAGCATTGAGTGAACTATTCTTTCACTTCAATCAAGCTCGAATTTTAGGCTTCAATCGAGCTTCTAATTTTTTTTGAGTTCAAGCCTTTTTGAGTTCAAGTTTCAATATTATATTTCGAGTTTGAGTTGAACTTGATAATTTTTAGCTTGTGAGTTTGAGTTGAGTTGAGCATATTTTTAAAGTTTTCAAGTTCGAGTTGAGCTCAGCAATACTCGAGTTCGACTTGGCTCGTTTAACAAACGACGTTGTTTGGTTTAATTTTTTTTAAAAAAAAACAAAAAATCCCGGTTTTTCCCGGTTTTCAGCCGGTCCGGTTCGAACGGTTCAGCGGTTCTGGCTGGTTCACTAATAACGGTTCAACCGGTTTATATTGAACCGGATTAAGTAACGGTTTCCGATTGAACCGGTTAAACCGGCCGGTCCGGTCCGGTTTTCAAAACAGAGGTTAAAATAAAGTTCAAAAATTAAATTGATAAAATTTGTCATGTTAGAGATTAAAAGTTAGTTTATCTCATGAAAAATATGTTAAAAGCCATGGAATTAGCTTGTACACAAAACAAATTGTACATTAAAAAATTCAATACTTTTAAATAATTTTTACTTGTGTTTGATAAATCAGAACTAAAAAATATTTGAGATGATGTTGATCACCAACTGATAATATAGTTTATATGTTTTTTTTGTACTCCCGATTTTCAAAGTTTCGCGGATTAAAACGGACCAACTCGAGTCGTTTATTAATATAAATTCATAAATTAATTTTTCAAATCATGTTAATGAATGTGATTCTTAAATTCTATATAATTTTTAGGTCAAGTTCGAGATGATAAAATTATAAAATTTTGTATTAACATCAATGTAGTTTACCCTTTTCATTTAAGTATGAATTTGATTTTTTTTCTGTTCTTTTCGTATAACCATTTTCTCGTTTATATGAGTATATGGGGAAAATGTTGGAAAAGTTAGCATAGAGTTCCGATTTTCTTGGTGTAGACATCATTTTTTCATTTAAATTTATTATTATTATTAAAATTATTATTATTATTATTAGTATTATTATTATTATTATAATTATTATTATCATTATTTATTATTATTATTAATACTATATATTATTATTATTTAATAAATAATTACAAAACTGGACCGGCCCAGTTACAAACAAACCAGAACCGGCCCAGACCAACCAGAAACCCTAAACGATTAGTAAGGTTTCAGCTAGGGTTTCTAAACCCTAGCCACCCCCAGCCGCCTCTGATGCTTCCAGAAGCCCAGCCGCCGCCTCTGCCGACACTCCCACTGCCAGGTGACCCAACCATATGCTGCCGACGATCCCCTGCTACCACGACTCCCATGAAGAAGTCTCCAGAACGCCACGAAACTACCCACATCGAGCTCTATGATGAGTCACCGCCATAGCTATGGTGACTCACCAGAAGTCTCCACTGGAACCGGTCCGACGAGAGCCTCAGTGGTGGCTATAAAAGCCACCACACCTGCAAGAAAGAAGACAGACGGCAGAGAACGAAAAAAAACCAGACAAAGAAACATAAAAAAAAAAGAGAAGAACCACCAATAACAGAGAGCAACGGAGAACAACAGAAAAACAGACGAAGAGAGAACAAAAAAGAGAGAGATACGAACAGCAACCAACAACCAGACCAAAACAGAAACGAAGAGAAGAAGAGGAACTTACCCTTGAAGCCTCGCTCATTACCGGAAATCCCGAGCGTCACCGGAGTCTCATTTTTCGAAGGTAAAAAAATTAGATCTACAGGAATCTAAGGGTTTTTAGGGAAAATAAAGACCGGAATCGGTCTTAGAGCGTTTAGATCTCTATTTTAGGTAAATTTGGGAATTTCCGGCCACCGGAGGCGGTGGCCGGCGGCGGAACTTGCGGCGGATCATGGTTGCCGGCCGGTGGTCAGCTCTCTCTCCGGGGAAGAGTTTGGAGAGAGCAGAGAGAGTTTTCTCTCTCACAGAAAGAAAAAAAAGAAAGAAATGAGGAAGATGGCATATAATGGCCGGCCGATTGGGTATTTAAAGCCTTCCCCAAACGACGCCGTTTTGGGGAGGGATCTATCCGTAATTAACAAAAAGATTAATCCCGTCCGCCATCCCTTTAATTTGTAATCTTTACCTTTTAGTCACTGAATCAAATTTTTGATCCTTTTAATTCGGTCTCTACATTTTATTTATTTATATTTTAGCCATTTACCGTATTAATAATATATTTAAGATAAATATCATATTTAGTCCTTTAATTTTAATAATAATATTTTAATCCCGAGTATATATATTTTTAATTTATTTTAATATGATATTCGAATTTTATATAGTTTTAAATTAGTCACCAAATTAATAAATAAGGAAAATAGCATGTTTAATCCCTATAATTTTAAATAATTAATTATGAATTAGGTATTTAATTTTATTAGATTATAATTTAGTCCCTAAGTTTAATATTTTCATTTACAAGCTTTATTATTTTTTATTTTTTCATACCATGTTTTAATTGTATTTTAAACATTATTTAATCATATGTTACCTTTATATATTATGTTCATATATTTAATTATCATTACTATTATTATTATTATTTTTATCAATTATGTCAATATATATAGTCTTATAAATATATATATTTATTTATTTATTCTATTTTTCTATTTATAAATTTAATTTTATAAATTACTTTTAAGAAAAATAATCATATTTTGATATTTATTTATTTTTAATATCAAAGAAAAAAGTTGTCTTAAGGTACCTAGAAGCTCTTTTCTGATATTTTTGAATAAATAAATATCTTACTATATTAAAATAAAAGGTTTTTGATATTTATTTTTAAATATTAAAGAAAAGAGCTGTCTTAAAACACCTAGAAGCCCTTTTCTGATATTTCTAAATAAGTAAATATATTATTTATGTATATTAATATATTTTCTTAAAATTATTTGAAACAATAGAATTATGAATTAAATATATCTTTGAATTTTTAAATTTCCAATAATAGAGACAATTTATAATTAAAAGTACCAATTTTGGGCGTTGTAGGGGTGCTAATCCTTCCCTAAACGTAACCGACCACGAATCCCTTTTTATTAATAAAAAAGAATGAATTTTTGGTTAAACGCAGATCAGTTTATCTTTTAACTGATGTTTTCTTAAAAACTCTTTTAAAAGATGATTTTTAGGTATTCGACCTACCTGACCCAAAAGGCCGATGGCGACTCCAAATTATTTTAAAAAAATATTTATTCACATCATTTTTCCCGCCAAGTAAAATATTTCGTGCCCGGACGAAATCCGGTTACGACAGCTTGGCGACTCCGCTGGGGATTTAGTCATGCTTTGAAATTAATTATAATTTGTCTCTATTAATTAGAAATTAAAAAAAAATCATTTATTTAATTTTTAATTCTTTTATTTCAAAATTTTTTATTACATACTATTTTCATATACTTATCATTAATTTTTTTTAAGTATTAATTTTAATTATTTTATTTATCTATTAGAAGTTTGAACATTTCTCCTCACACACAACACTTGCATTGCATAACATAAAGCTCTATAATTGAGTTTGTCCCTTTTAAGTGGGAGTGAAAGCGACGTCTTCGTGAGAATTTATTCTCCGTGTCAGACCTAGCAAGTAACTTTCGGGGTTCATATGCTCTATGTCTTCGTGAGAATTTATTCTCCGTGTCAGGTATAGAGAAATGTATCCCCTTGAATTGAACTCGATCCGCTTAAGTCTGTAATGGACTAGGATTGAGGGTTTGGCAGCCTAAGGGGGCACTAACAAGGACAATTCGAGTACCTTTACTCCTAGAACTAAAACCCTGCATGTAATAAACCTTAGAACTTCTCCTGGTCTAAGACAATACTGAACCTCTGTCCTTAGGTGTACACAAAGGAGAAATAAGCTTTAGCTTTTAATTTTTTAATTTATTATTTTTTCTGAATAAATGCATGCGAACTAAAAATCATGCGGTTAGGTTAAATTTTCCAAACAAAGCATGGAACTAGAAAGCATGAGGTTAAGATTTATACCTTGATAGATAGATTTTTTTCATTAGTTGGTACTAACTATTTTATTTTTTCTCATTTCTTTTGTTTGCATTGCATGATCAAAGCATAACCAAAAGGTGTTTACTTGAAAGACTGTTCATCATATTGGAAAGAAATCGTAA